GACGACTGCCGGCGTGCGGCTCCGGTGCGACGGCATGGCGGACTTAATGTGGTTTTAATAGTTTCTGAATAGCAGTGCAGCTCGGAGGCACACGGACAGCTACTCAAAAAATACTGCATGGGAGGAATTTATTGGTGGTTTTGGAATCTTCAGAAATTGTAAATGGGGAAAAAAAGAGATTACATGTATTATTATTATTATTAGATATCATGGAGTAGATCCTGCAGCAGAATGTACCGTCGGGCTCAAACCAGCGTAGATGAAATGAAGCAGAAATAGGGAAAGCTATTTATTGATTCGGCTGTCTGTGAGGTGAAACAAAAGTAGACTTTAAATGAATGTAGCCACATCGATGCGCCGAATAGATGTTATCCATCTTAATGACAAAGGGGAGTCCTTGGCTGAAGGGGAACCTCATCAGAGTCACACATGCAGAACCTCCGATACCGAGAGCAGAAAACACACAGCCGCACCAATGGATGAACATTTAAATTCAACGGTTCAAGTCATTAACCAGCGTCAATACGCAAAAGGAAGAAAAGGAATTCAAAAGAGCTCAGAGGATGTAAATAAAATGGGATATTCATTGTATCCATATTTCTTTTTACATTTTGTTTAAAAAATGCTTGATTCGTTCTCATTTATATGTAAATCCTTACAGCAAATAGAATTCTTTGTTTGTTTGTTTGTTTGTTTATTTCAAATTCCTTTTGCGCAAAAAATGTGTCCGACCGGCGGGCGAAGACTGATGATGTGGCCACAAAGCACCGCGTGGAATCGAGGACAGAAGCAGGACGGAACGACTCGCGCCCGTTTTTTGTCCAGGATCATTTAGGAGAAGAGGTGCAGCGGGAGCGGCGATTCATTTCTTTCTAAAAACAACACTTGGCACAGGAGCCCTGGTCCGGGCGAAGGGGGGCTGAAGCTCTCGGGACATTCTTTCCACCAATCAGGCCGGCTTATTAAAAAAAAAGAAATAAAGAGCTGGTTGAGGCACAGCGGAGGCCTCCGAGGGAAGGGTTGGCTGCACAGAACGTTTGGTGGACCTTCAGCTTCTGATTATCCAAGTGGCTGCCTTTAAAAAAAAAAAAAAGGAAAGAAAATCCAGCCTTTTCGCTGCCAGATGAAAACAAAAAGGAGGCGGTTGAGGTGAACGGCCAGAGAGAAAAGGTGCAGCGAGTCACGCTGAGGCTTTTAACGGCTCCTCTGAACACGGCTGTTGTCCCACAGAGTTTAACGCTTCCTCCTCAGCAGGAGGTCCGTCGCGCTGCCAGAAAGAAAGACGCACGCTGGGATCATGCATTCTACACGTGTGTGCGCGTGCCGCAAACGAGCGCCGATGCCGCTTAAATAGAACGACACGGCGCACTTCCTTTGATGCAGCCCCGGTGACTGTGATGCTCAGTAACATTTCATTTTCCCTCCCATTGTTGTTCACAACGTAACATTCATCAGGGGGGAAAAACATCCGGTTTTAAGACGCCGCGGTGCAGAAAAACAACTCATAACATCTTGTCAGCATTCTGGCATCAACCCAGCGCCGAAGTATCGGTTCACACCGGCCTCCAGGACCGACGGCATCTTCAGACACCGGCGAATTCTGCTTTGCAGGGTTTTGCAACGCACTGTCGCGCAGCATTATGTCGACTTAACACACACCAGGGGGAGGGGGAATGAAACCCCCGTCCTCACAAAAGCACCAAATAGTCGTCGAGAACAGCCAGTGCATGAAAGGTGGGCGGGCGAGGGGCCTTTCTGCCGCTCGGGGGCTCAACTGAATTGGTTCGGGTGCAGAAGGAGAGCAATCGGCGCACGAAAAAAAAAAACAGCAACTGCAACGGGAGCAGTTTGGGTCGTTTGTTCCCTGATAGCTGGACGTCCGTCAGGAGAACATTAAACGGGATCACTGTCCATCTCGCATGACAGCCGCGTCCTCACGCAGGCGGCGTGCGGCTCGCGGCGTGGAGCCGTCCTGCGGATTGTTTGCATTTCTCAGACTTGATGGGTTTCCAATCGTATCAATTCAGCCTCGTGCGGCAACGGTCTGCGTTGAGGAAAACGCTGCACCTGGATTCTGACGGCTTGTCTTTACTTTCATCTCGTTCTCTCACTCGACACCAAAGTGGATCTTGAGCATGTTTACTCCTGCATGTCACACACACACACACACACACACACACACACACACACACAGAACCGCTCTTCCACCCGACGACATTAAATATGCATTTGCTTTTGATTACTCTTGAAATTAATTCATCGGGGAGAACAGTGACAGGTGCTCGGCGTAACCGACAAACTGCCGCGGCAGTTACTGATAACACAAGACACTTGAGGATTCTCCACTGTGACCCCCCTCCTCCCTCCAACATTCCCTTCTCCCTCGTTCTGCCTCTCCACGCTCCGGCTCCCCTTCAGTCCGGTGAGGTGAGAAATGACACCAGAACCGAAACATTCGTCAAAGCAGCGATCCACAGAAACTAGATTACATGCAGGGGGAGGGGGGGCGGATTGCAAGGAGTGGACAACGAGAAAGGATGAGGAGGACGGGGTATTTATGAGGTGAAAGCGCTTTAGAAGAAGGCAAACTGCAGGTACAAACTGGGGAATGGGGGAGTCGGAGGGGAGGGGTTGTTTGGCATTGAAGCGAACGGCGCGAGTCGTGCCTTTGTGCCGGTGCCCTTGAGTCGGCCGGCGAGGCATGGAGTGTTGAATTGTGGATGAGCGGTTATCTCCAAGGCCCCCCCCTTTCGGTGTTATTAGAAAACACATGACAGCAATGCTAGCTCTTATCGAACAGAGAGCGCCAAGGCCGCCGGAGACGGGTGGCAGGATTTGATATACCCTGTCACTTGTTCTGCACTCGGGCCGTCAGACACACGGCGGCTTCGCGGTGCAGGCGTGCGCGCGGCGCGTGCACCGAGGTGGAACACGGGGTCGTCTGCACGGATGGACGCGCGAGGAGGAGGAGGAGGAGGAAGAAGCCACGAGCAGATCCTGAGCGTTGGCATCAAGGGTCCGCGTATGCGCTTTAATGGACGCGTGGACGGACGCTTCCATCGCGGCCGTCCACGCGTCCCTCTGTCGGTGAAAGTTAGGGCAAAGGTCGTCGCTGTCTGATGAAAACCAGCATGCAAGATGCTGGAAACCTGACTTCAATCAACGGATACATAATGATGCTTGTAAAAAAAATGGGATTTTGTTCCAATCAATTATACCTCTGATGGGAATAACGTGTCCAGAAGCTCCTTTATTGACCAGATACCAAAGTGTGAAACACAAATAGCTGTCTGATTACTGACTCGTCACGCTTCCATTCATTTGCAGAATAACACCAACCCTCCCCCCCCCCCCACACATTTGATTTGGTAGCTTTGTTTTGAAAAAAAACACCCATTGCCCTTTGTTCCAACATCCCTCTCTCCGCTGCTACCGAGAGTTTGTTCCCCGGCCAGGAGAAGGTTCCTCAGCACGAGGAGCAAAGGCCGTTGGCGCTTGTCCAATTTGATTTAATTAAAAGTAAACTTTATGTCCCTTTTGTGCCACTACCTCACAGTGCTGCTGTGTTGGGGGCTGTTACGCTTCCCAACACCTGAACTTGCCATATGAAGACGACGCCGGTGAGTTAACACCAAGTCATGAACTCAAAATAGATGAATCCAAAATGCGTCAACACAATCCAATGAGTGAGAAATCCCAGAATCCACCTCTCGGCAGTGATTCCCGGTTTCTCGGCGACCTCTAAATCGTGAACTCTCGTGCGTGTCAGATCGCTCAATCCTTTTCTCAAAAATGCTCCATAATTCAACTCTCCCTGTACGTTTTACATTATTTAGTCAGACTCCTTTCTCGTATCGTTTCTGCATAAAGTATTTGACTGTTGACATCCAATTTATTGCACAATATAAATATTGATTCCACGGCCTGGCAGACGCCCCTTTATATGACATGTACCCGTGTAGCTTATGAAAACACTCACAACATGATGGTTTCTCTGTCTGCCGAGCGGGTCCTTCCTTTCAGAGATCATGCAATCATGCAACGGGCAGCCAGCATTCAAAAGGGTCGTATTAAAACTGCCTTTTCTTCTCACAAACGCCAAAAAGCCTCCTGATCTAAACACGCAAAAGTAGCCCTGAAGATACGCAGGCATAATGGAATATTTATGCTATGCAAATTCCAAAAGTTGAAGCTAATTTTCCAAACTTGAGATGCAAAAATGAAAACCTCGGGGCTACTTGGCTGATTGACTTGCAAATGGATCTTTGTTTCAGTGCCGTGCGGGCGAGAACGGGTGTCAATAGGTCAGGACGAAAAGAAAAAGGAAACCATTTCACGACGACCAAATAGGAAACCGGCTCGCTCTCCTCTCAGGCCCCACATCGCATCGGATACGCAGCGTTCGTTCCTCCACCAGACCTCAGCAGTCCGAGGATCTCGAGGGGGACCACGGCCCTCGAAGGACCCCTCTCCAAGCAACCGAGCTGCACGTCGTGTGAGGAAAAAAAAACGCTTGATGCAAAATGTGGCGCGTAGACATGAGAGGACGTTCTCCAACGGTACCGACATCTCCTCAAAAGGAGAGAAAACTCCACAGCGACCGATCCACGGAGCCGGGGTCCATCATCGGCAACACAAGCAAATGAGTGGAGGACTCATAACATCTCCAAAGGGCAGCAGAGAAGATCTGATCTCTGAGCTGTTAATCTTATCTGACACACCTTTGTCAATTCAAGCAAACTGCACTCAGATTTAGCCTTAAAATAAAAAAATACTCAATCACTCAAAATGCAAAAACTTGTCAGAATTGAAACGCAACCCCTGGAAAAAAAAAAAACATGTCCCTGCGTTTGTAATAAAGACACGCGCACACACGCGCGCGCGCACGCACACATTGTTCGCACCGGTTAGAAAAAAAAAAAACACTTTTCACGACCCAAACACACTTGAACACACAGTCGCGTCTCTCTCTTTTACACGCACTCGTGCCGCGCGCTTACCTCTCGCTAACGTGGCCGGGACTCGCGTGCCGAGGAGCGCGAGGACGCCAAAAGTCAGGTAGCCCCCCCCCGAGAACCGCGCCATCACCGCTCCGAGGGGGTCGCCGCGCGTCGCCACTCGGGGAACCGGACTCGGGTCTCCGGCATTGAGGTCGTCTTGCTCGTCGGTGCCTCCACAACCAGCACGGTCCCGCGCCCCGACGCGCGCCCCCTTCACACACACACACACGCGCACGCACGCACGCACGCACACACGCACGCACGCACACCCCCCTCCGGTCCAGGTGTTCCGGGGCCGGTGTCCGCCGGCAGCCTCGCGGATCGCAGTGCGGAGGAGCGGGTGCAACGCGGTGCGGCGCCTCACGAGCAGTGCGCGCTCTGCTGCGCGAGTACAGCGGGACGACCCGACCGGGGAGGGGGAGCCGACTGCTTTCGGGTATTCGCAAAGAGGAGGGAGGGAGGGAGGGGGGAGTTGGAGTCTCTAAACCCCCGCGGACCTGTTGAGGAATCACAGAAGTGTTTGTGCGTGTGCGTGAGAAACCACTCCGCGTCGCCGTGTTTCCTCCCCACGTGTTAAACGTTTGCAGGGACGTGCTCCTTGATTTCAGCACCATTGCGTCGTCTGGAGAATCACCTTTTTTTACTAATTAACGACCATGTTCAGCCTATGAGCAGTTACGTGTGATTGGTGTCCAATTGGCAATCAAGCAGAGTCGCGTATTTCAATCAGGTCTCTTCCCAAATGTCCCCTTTCTGATTTTTTGGAGTGACGTGGACGAGATAATTAAGTCAAAATACAGGTGAATATTCAAGTGTTTGAATATGAACTGCTTTGTAATTATAGGGGACGGCAGGAGGAGGAAGACATGTTAATGCCCATCAATTCAAGTCTATTAAAAAGGCAAATTGGCTTCTGTCACATTGTGTTGTTATCTAATGGGGAAATGACGCATCCACATAAACGGCCTTTATTACGCTTTAGTGGGCTTGGGTTCAGCCAAGGTCTTATTTTGTATACTATAGAGGGATTCTTTTTGCTGTTAATAATGCACTGTTTTTTTGGTATATTCGGGCAGCTGAGGAAGCACACAAACACACACGAGGCCGGCAGGTGTGCGGGGAAGGAAATGTACCGGAGGCGATGATGAGGAACTTACAGCGAGTCGGCAGTCCAAACAGTCCAACAAATCCTACAGGGCACGACTGGTAAACAGGTACAGGCGGCTGACAGCAAAGCCTGACAATCCGGCACTGACAGGGCGGGGGGGGGATGAGTACTGTCAGGGGGGATCGGAGAAACGAGACGGGCGAGGAGGTGGACGTGTGGACGTCAGGTGAGCGGAGCGAAGGTCTGAGGCCATCTGGTGGACAGGTAGAGCATGACAGTGACTGCAAAGCAATGTGGGGGGGGGGGAACTGCGAGGAGGGGGGTTAAAATGTCATTAAAAGGGAGATAGTCAGATGGAAAGGCTCAACACTGCAGTGTAATTTGTTGTTTAAATCTGAAAATGCCATCAAAACTCTCTGTTATAGGGTGAAATGTTCTACGAATCAATTTATTTAAATGTTATACTTTGGTGTATAAAACGAAAGAAAGATGAATCAATGGTTGTGTGCAAAATGGGTTGTTTTTCCATTATTTTGAAAAAAAGACTTTAAGCCAAAAGCTCAAAATTGATCAGCGCCTGTTTCCCCTTCGATGGCACATGAGCGCTCCATGGGACTAATGTGTCCCGACTCCGTATCGCACTCCGAGAGGCAACCGTTGCACTAACACGAATGCGGAGTGAAAAGTATGACGTTTGAATCCCGAACGTTCTGAAAGTGGAAAAACATTCAAAGTAGAAACTCCCGTCGGGATCACGTGCGTCCGCTGGGTTTCCGTGTAAGTCCCCGCAGGTTTGACCTTCTCCGACGCATTCGGCCCCCCCCCCCCCTGTTGTCCAGGCACTCAGCGGTTCGCTTCCCGCGGTTCTCGCCAGGAGTCCCTCCCCCTCCCCCCCCGTCAGGCGACGGGTAACTACTTGATAATATTTAACTTACTGGGCCTGAACGTTCTTCGAGGGCCTGAACTCACGTGGGCAGGTGAGGGCGGACTGGCAGCCGTAAAGCACTGAACAAACTGTGTGTGTGTGTGATGATAAGTGACATAAATCTGCTCTCGCTTTGTGGTATTTTTCTCCCTGAAATGTTCGTGGAAGTGCTCAAGGTGCAAGTCAGCGTCGGGACGCCTGCAAGGGCAGCTCCTCTCACGGGGGCCGACAAACATCGGCAATGGAAAAGGGCAATTTCAGCGTAGCAGCACAAAACAACAAAAGCCTCATCACCAAAAAAATAAATAAACAAATAAATGCCCTTTTCCATGGAGACGGGAGATAAAAGCACGTTTTCAGCTTTGCTTTCAGCAAGATTTATTTGCTTCATACAAAGCAGAGAAGGCCAACCAATCATTCTTTCATTTTTTGTATTTATTTTTGAATCCATATTTCTGAATATTTCTATTCAAGATTGGTCTTAACTTTTGAACTCTCCTAATGGAAATGTGAGTCTCAACATTGTAGAGTTCCTGAAAATTGTATGGGAGAAAAATAAAAAACAGATCAAGGCCTTATTTGACAGGAACGTGAGCACGGTGTGCAACTTCCCCTAATTAAAGAAGACGCAGGGAAACAGCCTGCAAACGCACGTTCCTTCAAATACGCAGACATTTGCTTACAGATAAGATTGTATGAAGCGCGCCGCTGTGTTGCTCGCTGCATCCGAGCGAGGGAGGGGCGCCGCGTGCATCCTCCGGTGGCCATGTGCAAAGAACAAACAGCCTCTTGCTTTTACCACATCAAATATTTAGAAGAACGAGGCGGAAACTTCACGGCCGCCGTGGTGCCGCCGTGTGGGACGCGAGCGGCGATAATCCGCCTCATTGTCTTTGCTGAATTGGATTTGGTGAGTTTCATGAAACTGCTTTTATTTTGCTCGGTTTGCGTGTTTTTCGTGCCAGCGCCTCGCAGGGAGTCTCGTTCATTTCGTATGGTTCCCTTCATCCATGTTGTCGCATGCAGCATCACCCGCCACGCCCTGCAATGTCGGTGCTACACAAAGTGCATTATTTGCCATCTGCAGATGTTGCAAATGTCGCAGAAAATGAGTAAAAAACTGCCACGTCTTTCTGAGGTTTTGCCCGCTTGTCCAACATATATATTTTTGTTTTGCAATGGAACTTGAGTCAACATAAGAGAAGAGGAAAAGACAGGCGCTTTGTACGGATTTGGTGAGGTAGGAAATGCATTCCGCATGTTTCTTCAGGGCTTAAGGGTGCACACCGTGTTGGCGAGTAATGTGGAATACAAATTGTAATGAAAGCTCCTGAAGTGCATTCAGAGATGATAGAACGTTCCTCACCCACCCGTCCTCACAGCCAATGAGGACGCCAGCGAGCCTGCAACGCTGATTGGTGAGTGCTGATACTCAGATAATTGGTCTTTCTCTTCGACTCATCATTATTCTTTGTTTCTTTTACCATTGCGGATGGGAATAGCCAAAAGGTGCAATTATACCACAAAAGACAAGAAACGAAATCAATTCATCGCATGCATTTCTTTATTCAATCACTGGTATCGTGCTCACTTATCGTTCACTGCAGTCGATAATAGAAGAGCTTGCACAAAAGCCGCGCGTTCCTTGAACGAATCCCTTATTAAGTACACGTTTGCCTCATATGAAGCATTTGCGCGCCATTCTTAATCACTCACAACACGCGAAGGCGGATCTCAGCCAGATGTTCTCTTTGTTGTGCATCTGCAAATTCGCGATTGGACCTCAGATTAACGGCCTCCGTGCACGCAGGCCGCAGCGCGCGCTCGTCGCCACACGCTTGGTGATTTCCTCGTCCGGGTGCCGACCACCTCCGAGGGAGCTGCCCGGGGAGGGGGGGGGGGGGGCATTAGCGGCGGATGTGGTGGGGAGCTGGTCAATAAAACCTTTTCATCTCTTCTGAAAGCACCGCACCTCCCACCACGCCGCGATGGCAGCCATGGAATAGGAAAGAGGGAGTCGACTCGTCCCACCTGAGAGGAAAATCATGTTCTTGTGCACCATGCGCAGATATGTGACACCATAAATGTGCACAGGTGGATTTTCAACATGCCAAATATAGCTTTGCATTCACATTGAAAAGCTGACTGAAAGGACTCATCCCCAGATTAACGACTGCCGCCCAGACTTTGTTAAATGCACTAACCGAAAACATCTGCATTCAAGTCTTCACGTGGCTCCTTCTGTGTTCCGTCGCTGCACAATGTTTCTGTTGACGATATTAAGTCATAATCTGTTGAGCCTAACACGATGACAAACTTGCTGACGGCTTTGAATAATCTCTTCACATGCGTGAAATAGCATAATCAGTGTTTCTGAAGATGGGCTTTTCAGAATAAAGAGACACGTTTGAGCAGCTGAGCTGTGAGGAGAAAGTGAAAGAACCTGAGTGAAGAATCATACTGTGTGCGTGTGCATGCATGCGCGCGCGTGTGCGTGGACGTCAACTCTGCACCGTCAACCAGCGTGCGTGGACATTATTCCTGCTCATTTAAGCTCTGCGTTTCACTCAGGATGAGCGTTTGAGAGTAACGATCAAACGGAACAGTTGATCTTCTGCATCGCGTAAGACTCCTTATTCCAGCGTGTTGATCAGCATCACATCGTACTTATTGTACCGACTTTGCCGCGGGTCGAGTGTACGACACCCACACACGCGCGGACGCGTTCACAGGCCTCCTGCCTGCCGCGAGCAGTTTTTCGATGTCGGAGAACTTGGGAAAAGGGAGCTCGGTGAGAGCATGATGTATTTTTACTAACTTTAAACACCCTTTGTTTTGCGCCAGGTAATGTTTGCTCCTCTTTTCTAGTAAAAGATTCCTTGAATAAACAGGATCGGCGACAAGGAACTTTTTTGTAGTTCTGATGTCCACAAGGTCTGGGGACCTTCTGCTTGTCAGGTTTGGAAAGGATCTCTTTGCAATCCTATTAGACACAAAACCCAAACGGATACTGTGTGTGTATAACAACATAACGCGACAGCTAATGAAAAATATCTGTACCGACAAAACAGCTGTGACACTTGTGTTTATGCTGAAGGGGGAGTACAGTGGGGGGAGATCGGCCCTGTTTGATGAGGCAGCAGACGCAGACAGAGCGCGGCGGGTTATCCGTGACCGCAGCGTCCTTCTAAAACCCGTGGCGATTATGCCCAAGACGTGACGGAAACATTAAGGCAACGCGTCCTGGCTTTTTCCTGTGGCGATCGGCCGGCCTGCGGGCAAAACAGTTGAACAAACTAATAGATAGAGAATCACACCGAGGCCTCGCGTGGGAGGTTCGGCTTTTCTTCTGTGTGCCAAATGGGCTCTGAGTGCAAACTGGCTCAGCCTTGTACCACTAAT